TGATGCAGATCAAGCTGACTTATAAATACTTGAAAATAGATGGTCTAGATCATGCATTATAAGATGCGTTATTTCAAGGACTGAAAATCCTTCTTATTTTTTTCATATCAGAGATCCTAAGACTGAGATATCAAATCGTTGGTTTTCTAGCATCGGGACAACCTTCTATAATAGGGAATGGGTTTAGCATCAGTGGTTAAGGGTGATAACTCCGAGGCCTTCTTTTGATCCGTTGGATGTTGATCCTTTGGCTATGGTGGTGATTGAGGAGGATGATAATGTGCTGGCTACGGGTGAAATGGCTCTAGATGCTGTGGATGACCTAGGAGATGCTACGATAGTTTTGGAGGATGATTTGAATATGGCTTTGTTGACTTCGGATAAACGCCCACCCATCGGCACTATTCCCCTGAAACAGCGGCCTTTGCTGCTTCACTTTACTTCTGAGCCTCCGAAGGAAGTGAGTGTTGATGTGGTTGCTATAAAGGAAGTGAGTGTTGATGAAATTGTTGTGAAGGAAGCCCCTATTGACCCAGATGTTCACAAATTGGCCTCTAATTGTCGTATGGACTTCAATATACCAATTGGTGTGGTTTTTTAGGAAATTATCTCAAAAAAGAAATTAGAGAAGCTTGAAGCCATAGTATAGGAAAAGCTGAAACAATATGAAAAGGAGAAAGGATAGGGTGATTCAAATGATACAAACTAAGCTTGATTTATGGAAGTACAAATATCTTTCTTTAGGGGGTAGGATCACTTTGATTAAAGCTTCTTTGTCAAATCTTCCCATTTACCAAATGTCTATTCTACAGATTCCAGCATCGGTTACTCATAAAATTGAAATGTTTATGGGAAATTTTTGTGAGGTTCTTTGGGTGACTCCAAAAAATTTCATCTTTTGCAATGGGATAGGGTTTGCACACCAAAGAGTAAAGGGGCTTTGGGATTGAGGAAAATTAAATTAGTCAATCAGGCTCTTTTTATGTAAATGGTGGTGGAGAAGCTTAAAGTTTGAAAATCAGTCATGGTATCAAGTTGTTGCTGCAAAATATGGGGAGGACAGATTCAAGATGTGGATGGGAAGGAGTAGGCATAATAGAGGAACATCACCGTGTTGGAAAGCAATTAACTATTGCAATTCCCTACTTTATAGGGACATTCGTTGGACGGTCGGTGATGGGGGAAATATTTCCTTTTGGCACCATAAGTGGTTAGATAATTCTCCTTTGAAGTACGTATTTTCGTTGGTTTTCCAAAGGTGGAAAATCCAAATGCTGTCATTCGAGATCTATTTGCCAAAAGAGGAGATAAGGTTGAATGACAGATCAATTTTATTTATAACAGAATCCCAGATGATTTATTCCTCCAATTTTCTAGATTACTAGCGAGACTTAATGAAAGTCTATATCCTATATATGGCGGAGGATGAGATGGTGTGGGATTTATCCAAGGATGGGTTTTTCTAGGTTAAAGCTATGTACCACCTGTTATTCAACGATCGACGGCGGTGGTCCATGCTGGATATTGCTATGATTTGGAAATGGCCTTTATTGTTGAAGGTTCAGGCCTTTCTTTGGTTGGTCGTACAAGACAAGGTGTTGACTACTGATAATCTTATCAAAAGAGGTAAGGTCCTGCTTAATGTATGTTTGTTGTGTAAAGATGATGGTGAAACATCTGCTCACTTGTTCCTTCGTTGCCTTTTGCACTAGCGAGATTTGGAAATGGTTTTTTGGACAGCTTTGAGTGCCTTTGATTATACCACCTGTTGTCAAAGGAATTTTAGGTGCATTTTCTGTTCCTTCGCTCCCTCAAATTGGTTCGGTTATTTGGAAAACTGCTAGGGGGATAATTCTTTAGGAGATTTGGAAGGAAAGAAATAGACGAGTATTTGAAGGAACTAGTCTGCCTTGGAATAACATGATGGAGAAAATTTTGCACTCTATTTGGGAGTGTTTATCAATCTCCAAAATGGGAAAAGATATTGTGGAAGTGGATGTTATGCATAACCTTTGCAACCTTTTCTAGTTGGTTGTTTGAAAATGCAGGCCTAGGAATAGGGGGTCTCCACCGCCGAGTGAGGTACTTAAATTGAATTTTGATGGAAGTTCTTTAAGAAATCTTGGACCTGCAGGTGTTGGTGGAGTTGTGAGGGATTGTGATGGGAATATTCTGTTTACTTATGCGGGCCCTTTGGGAGTGAATTCAGCAAATCATGTTGCAATCGTTGCTTTACTTCAGGGACTAAAGATTTTTAGTGCCAGATTCTTAGGAGCTAGTTGTATTGTTGAAAGGGGCTCATTGAATGTCATCAATTGGTGCAACAAAGAAAAGAAAGTTCCTTGGGAGCTACGATCATTTTTGCTACAAATTTTTATTCTCTCAATTTCCTTTGTTTATATGTATCGGGAGGCAAATAGTTTGACAAATAGTCTTGCGAAGGAGGGAATTGTGATGGCAAAGATGGTTGTCTCTGATGATGTAGTTTCTTAATTTGCTATAATTTTTTTGATGTTCTAATAATACTTTTGAATTTCTACTAAAAAAAAAAATCCAAACCACCTTCCCACCATTAAGTCGTGGGAGGCAAGGTCACGACAGGGATAGG